GACTAGGTTAAAAAACGTACACGTAAACATACGTAATTACTACTGGTACGCATAGCACAGGTGATGCTACCGTCTTACCCAGCATAAAACGTGTAGATGTTGTAATAAAAAAAACAGGTACCATAAATAAAAGACCAAAACCTCACACACAACGACGCATAAAATACAAGGACAGCCAAAGGAAAGGGTTCGGTATTAGTAAGGTGATCTCACGGCCAATGCTTACACAAGTATTGCTTTTAGAAAGCAGGTCGTCTATTCACCAACCATTTTCATTAAGCCGGTAGCAATTCTTCCTTTCAAAGACTCACTCGCCAACTACATCTCCTGAAGAAACGCAGCTACGTTACCATGCCCACCTCTCGCCGCAGCTACAGCATCACCGAAAAGGTGTCAATTCTGTCCAGCTACGACCCCGGGGTTCAAGGTAGCGGCTTCCACGGCCTTGGCCGTCGACACGACATCTCTCCGAGCACGACTCGAGGGTGATGGTCCCATAAGGAGGAGCTGCAAGCTGCTTTACGCGATCGTCAAGTCCCGACCCGTTCGGTGCGCCGTCTCAGCGATGGTGGGCAGCGACCAGCCCAAGATGAGCTGGAGAATCGGCTATTTGAATGGATTGAGCACTGTAACAACAAAGGACTGCGTGTCAAAGACTCGTATATACGTCTTCAAGCCAAAAACATATACCGTCAGTTGTATGGTGCCGACGCAACGGGTTTGTGGCGTCGTCTGGTTGGCTGGCACGCTTCAAAACCCGTCGAAACTTGGTCTCTCGCAGGCAGACCACGACAAGATCATTACCAGTAGACGTGCCGGGTATTTGCCGTGGGTTTATCCAACGTGCCCAGTACCTGATCGTCAAGCATGGCATCAAGCCGAAAAACATCATCAACATGGACCAGGTGCCTCGGTACTTCGAAACCGAGCCCAAGTCTACGATCACAACGCGTGGTTCGCGCGAGGTTTTACTACGCAAAGGAGGATCAAGTCACAAGCGTTTCACGGCAACGTTTGATATTACAGGCGAGGGGGAATTTTTGAAGCCACACCTCCTGTTCTCTAAGCTAAAAACACAAGCCGAAGTGCCCGTAGGGTGTCTTAGTTGACGTTAATCGGACCGGAATGTGGAACGACGACTTGCTTCTGGCTCATGCGGAGTCTGTCATCTGTGCGCGTAAGGAGACTCATCTCTATAGAGAGCCCGTGCTTTACCTGATCAACTCGTACGGTTGCCACGTGAAGCTGGCAGAGTCCAAAGCTTGGAGCGCTACAACGTCTTCGTGTTGATTGTACCCCCAAACCTCACCAACCTGTTACAGCCCTTGGATGTTGCTGTAAACCGTAGCTACCAGGAGCTCTACCGCTCTAAGTACGACGACTACATTGGCAGAGCGCTACAAGAACCGTTACTGCAGACCAAGGCTGGAAACCCGAAGGTCCCCCGGTACAATGCGGTGGCACAATGGACACTTGATTGGGTCGCGTCGAAGACTGCAGAGGATGTGAAGAAGGCTTCACGTTGTGCGGATTGTTTGAGGGAAGGCAGAGCAATTCCTGCTGAGCTCGAAATTTATGCAGCTTCCAAGATGCATGGATGGGGTCCCCAATTTTTTTTCCCGGTATTCTTGATTATTTATTTATTTTTAGTGCTTAAATGGAATAATCGCAGCCACCTCATTTAAGTTTGTTAGCACTTCTTTCATGACTTCTAGACCAAGCGGTGAGTCTCGCGCAACAGTCCCACCTCGAACCAGTAGAAAGGGCCTCAGCAGAGATGAATCTGCGTACCAGCGCGCAATCAGTATCTTAGGCAAGGCAGCGGTAAAGGAGATGGGAGAAAAGTAGGATTCGTGGGATACAAGTTACGGTGGGAAAGAATGGCAGCAGTCTGAGGAAGTGTAATGAAGCTACTTCAATAAGGACTGTCGGAACGAGTGATTAGGGCGGTTTTACCAATAGGCGGTGCTCGCGTTGGGAGATTGCGCAAAGTGCTGCAAGATGGAGTCAAGACACTACATACTCGAAGAGAGCGACCGAAACCTGCACACGTGTTTAATGATATATTTAAGCAATACTGCACTACTTGGATTCTTGAGGACGGGTTTCCGTGTGCACACAGGCGCCCCCGTCAATATTTTACAGAGCCCGGGCGCACATGGAAGGTTGTTCATGCCCGCTACAAGGACGATGTTACCCCCGCCTACCCTCAGGCTCGGACCATGAGCTACGAGCGGTTTACACCGTACGTGCATTTCTTTTACCCCGGCCTTCGCCTGACTCGCGCAGCGGAGGATGTATACGACTGTTGCATTAGACTTAAGACAAAGTTGCAGCAAGCAGAGCTAGACGAAGAAGATAAAACAAGAATTTTAGCTGAGAAAAAGACACACTTAAGTGAAAGCATTGCGCAGCGCCGATTTATTTCGAATATTATTTGCTCATATACAGCGATGTATGCACCGGAACAAAGTCTGCCAACTCAGATAATTCCAGATACGTATGGCGTGAGCAATGAGAAGACCAGATCAGGCCTTGCGAGAACGAATAACGTCACAACCCTAAGTATTGAAACGACCACCATGACGTCGGAGTGTGGTAGACGCGTTCAGATCCAAGCTGAGGACTACAGCGGTAGTATTTCGCCACACTATGGCAATACTCGCCCTTCTGTCGGCTATTTCAACAGCAACCTCATGATACAAAATTTTGTAGTGGCGGACATTACAAACGGCAGAAATAATGTTTACTTTAATGACAAACGTGCTCAAGGGAAGGACGCTAATGCATTGTTCAGTTTACGACTTCTGAATCATCTATCCACTTTGAAAAACAATATTCACGATGGAATTCCGCCTCCGGACATCAGCTTCAGTATATTGGACAGCTGCGTCGGACAGAATAAACCCAAAGCCGTGCTGATGTTTTTTTTTTTTTTTTTTTTTTTTTTTTTTTTTTTTTTTTTTTTTTTTTTTTTTTTTTTTTTGCGTTTTTGTCAATCATCTTTCCCTATAAAAAAAGTAGTGCTCTGCTTTTTATTTCCTGGACATTCGCACAACATTGCCGATCGAGTTGTTGCATGGTGCCGAACAGCAACCCAAGGACGGAATATTTACACCCCAATGGATCATGTGGATAAAGAAATAAGGTGAAGAGTGTTAATGGTTTTTTTCTCTCGATCCCACGATCCCTCACGGCCATTCTTTCTGAAGTCGAATGAACTATTATCAAAGTATTTTATCCCACCTCCATTGGGATACACAGCAAACTACCTATTTGAAATCGACGAGGGTTTTTGTACGGCAAGAAAAACGGTAGACACGTTCAACCATCAACACTTAAAGGGATTACTGGAGTCGAATCTACTTACCATGGTGTGGCTAACTGGATTTCTTTCTGAGAGGCTTGCGCTCCGACAATACAGGCACAGAGCTGTACATATATTTTGGTAGATGACTGCGACACAATTACATTTCCATTGGTCAATGGTGACAACATAGAGGTATTAAGGCCCTTGATTTCCGATTTGTTTGGCGATACTGTAACTACAAATTTAGAGGATCAATATCGTCCGTGAAGCTACCACGCCACCCTTTGAAGAAGCTCGCTGAAAAAAAATGAAATCTTTGGCTGGAAAGAATTTTTCAATACTAAAGAATTTCTATCCTATTACCCAGCCGTTCCCCAGGAAATTCTTGAGGCACCAGACAGCATCTCCGAATCGAACGATCCTACCACGACCAGTACTCTCGGAAAACGTAAACCAGGACGCCCACCAAAAACGAAAAAGAAGCAACAATCCAAGCAGCTATCGATCCTCCAGTTCTTCAGCCCTCCATCTAAACCAAGCAGCAGCTAGCTACTTTTTAGTAGAAACAAGCAGTACTGAGGCGGTTGTTTACCTTTTTAAAAAAAATGATTCTACAATTTTATACTAAATTACAGATACCGGTTTGTTATGGGAGAACCGGGGTCCAAGTGGGACCCCGGGGTCCAGCCAAACGCTTCATATGCTCGCCAAATCTCGATGTAACGGGCTTGAAAATTCACTACCCAAGTCATCAGTCACATGTCAATTCCAAACGTTGTTTAATTTCTTCTTTATTCACAAATATT